ATATATATATATATATATATATATATATATATATATATATATATCCAACTATATTAGTAGCTATTGTTGATTATTTCGGTATTATTTGTATAGAAAACATGACACCCATTGGTGGCTATCATTGTTCTTGTTACCATTTTTGAAGCGAATATTTAATAATTCCCTTATATTACTTATTGTTATTTAAGTTTGTAAACTTATCAGTGAAATCGGCAGTATATAATTTGAGACTATTATGGGTAACGGGACTGAGTTTATGACTAATATTATATTACTTACAGACCAATATGTTTTTATCTTTCTGCTCTGTACTACATTAATGTATTTAACGAAGTGTTCCCTCAGAAACTCAAAGACAATATGTAATTCTTGAGTTAAAGGTTTGGTACTACTGTTACGAGCACCCGTTTTGAATCCGAAATTGACTGGATTTCTATGTAACAAGCGCATAAGTTATTGGTAAATCCGCTTCTGGAATAACATTGAGCTTATTACGGGCACAAAATATGCCTTTTCAACATCAATGAATACTTATTATTACACTGCTTGAGTTTATACGTATTATTAGTGTACCCATAGGTATATGTATTATCAACCGCATTATACATAATTCCCACTTCTTTCACCCGTAGTTATTCTCCGCTTTATCCAATGGACAAAAGACATGCTTACTCTGATACTATTCAACTACATTACGAGCGATATATTCTCCATACCACTGATGCTAGATTTGGTTAGCAGTTGTTTACCTTTCTTATGACAGCAAGAGTATAAATGCTTTCCAAAAGTCCCATCTCATATGCGTTTGTTTCATAGTTGTTTTGGAAGAACGAAATAATTTTGAACATAGTATCCATGTAAATGTTTTTTACTTCATGTCTTATGATGCCACCGTCTAATCTATATAATGTTCCTTTTTCTAACATGGATCTTGGTCCCTTATCTCTTATTAGATTCAAATCCCCTGTCATAACATGACCAAATTTCTTGTAATGCCACTGCCTAACCTGTACTTTGTTCCTTTTTCGAACATGGAACTTAGCTCTTTTCTCCTACTAAGTTTAAATCCCCTTTTATAACATGACCAAATTCTTCACTTGCATATTTCTCAACAGAACTAGTATTGCAAACACAACTACATGTAATCGCCTCCTCTAGCTTTTCCTTGTCTAAGTTTTTCAAAAGCTTGTTGTAATTGCTTGTTCTAGCTGACAATTCATTATCCTACTTTATATAATTCGCTAATCTGTGTGTTTGTGTGTCTGTGTAGGTGTGCGTGTCGGGTGTGTGCCCGACCGGAAATTCATAACTCGTGTCCCCGTGAACCTAGAGTGTTCAAACTTGGTAGAAGTACGGGGGGCAGGACCGGACTACGTCTACAGGAGGGAGGCGTGCGCGTTAGAAATTTTGGGCCGCAAATTCATAACTCTACGTCTACGTGGACCTAGAGCGTCTAAACTTGGCAGAATTACTGGAGGCAGGATGGAAACATGTATGGTGGGTTGGAGGACTAGACTTCACCCACGAGGGGCGTTGTTTTGCACCGAAATTGTCAATTTGGCACTAGGGCATTCAAACTTGGCAGGAGTACAGGCGGCAGGAAGGGAACACTTACGGTGGGTAGTAAGACCGGACTCCCCTCACAGGGGGCTTCGCGAAGTAAACGACCGAGCGCAAATCCATGACTTCTGATCCCGTGGAGTTTGAGCGCAAAATCAAGGAGTAGAGGAGGCAGAATGGGAACGCTGACGATAGAAGAGGCTTATGAAGTTTGGTTCACTTCTAGCTTACGACCGCTATCCAGCAACGTTTGCGATTCAACAAAGGATCACGGTTTCCCCTGCTTTGATACTACTCTTGGCAAAATTAATCCGACCGCTAATAATCTTGGATTCTCATTTAATGGTGTAACCGTAGAGAAAAGGAGCTACTTTCATAAAGACATTTGATAGTGGTATTATTACGACTCGACAACCTTTGTGAGCAGCATTCAAGGCTTTGGTTGCCTACCAGTTAAACCTTCAATGGATCGTTATTTTCAAAGTGAACAGCGCCAGATAGAGACTTCTAATCAAAGACATAGGCATCGACACATCATGAATATCATTTGGTTCCCTATTGCTCCTCTATCGAATTTCGTGTTCCGAAATGTGTCATTATAAATTATAAATTTCTTATCCTATTTTTCATTTGTGTTAGTGTTACATTTAAAATTAACTAGTAAACAAAACATCAAAAACCCAGATTTATGTTTTATTAATTTGAGGAAGTCCGGAAATTAAGAGAGTTCATGCTTTATTTTGTTAATGTCTTGATTAAGCAGGCTTTTGAGCATCTATAGTACTGAATCGGTTTGATAAACTCGCCTCTATTCACCAGTACATATAATAACATTATCTATTTTCTTTTTTCCTCTTTGTTTTGTTACTATGAACTCCTCCATTACTTCTTTCCTGAGTAATTCTGAGTGAAAAGAAAGAAGAATTATTTTCTCTATTAGTGGTTTATCGATACTGCTTATGCTACCATAGCCTTCAGTGTTATTCTTATGTTGTTATCCAATCCAAATCGATAAGCAGACATTAAGATCTATTAGTGGGTCATAGATATTGCTTATGCTACCATAACCCTAAATGTTATTCTATTATGTTATTACTCATTCCAAACCGATAAGCAGACATTAGGAGTTCAATTCAAAACAGTTCTTTTTTTAATAAAATTGTTTTATCATTAGACTCTATAGAATCCAATATTGTTACTGATATCCCTTTACTACATTCGAAGAAATGATTGTGTAGTGTTGTACTAGTTTACGGCTATATATGTTACTTATATGTTCACCTATCCTCGTTTTTACTTTTCTGGTTGTCATTCCCACGTACTGTATTTCACACCCAATACATGTAGCTTTGTTATTAGTCAAGTCAGTGCCCAGTCCACAGCTCTGTTCGTTTCCTACCTAGCACCTTTAAAAAGATAACGATGGATGAAGCAATAAAGTTCATAAGCGTGAAATTAAGGAATTTTTCCATATCTCTTGACCCTATACGTACCTCTGAAACAGACCGACAGAGCTCACCTGGTCTCGCATTTGTTCAGTACGGTCGAAAGTCGATTGTCGGGATATTCGATGAAGGGCAAGTCAGTGCATGATTTCTTCACGTATGTAGTTCCAGTCGAAAATCGACGTTGTCGTTCTGAGAAAATGCATTTACAGAAGAAAAGGGTCTCACAGAAAAAATGTTGGGAATCTGAAAAGCACTGAGCGCATTGAGGATTCGCAGAGCTACCTATGCAACTTCTTACCTATTTATTTTAAGAGTATGCGGACTTTTGTTCGATCACTGAGTTCTCGCACAACTTGAGGTCAATGCGCACCTTGGCGGGCTTCGTCGTCGGCTTCCTCGATTCGTATCGGGCAAAACTGTCTCAGTTCTTATGGTATTCATTTTCGGGTCACTATCATACGAAATTTTCCACTTCAAATTTGAAGAATTTATTTGTTATGCTCAAGAACGGAACGCTAAAAATTGTTCTCGTTGAAAATTCTTTTCTAGACGCTTCACTTTCTTATTGCTTTTACTCTTTTCAGTTATCAGTCTTTTACTGGCCTAATAACGATATGTGAGCAGCAATTTCAGTTCGCCACAGAGTTTCACACCTACTTGAGGGCGCCTCGCACAGTGTTACGAAATGGCCGAGGTAGTACAAATGTCCTCACATCCGTGGCATCCATTCTGGCTGGTTCAACCATTCCGCCTACAACCCTCTGGAATCGATCACCTAACGGTTCTAACGGTTGAGCGGAATCCTTCTATATATAAACGACAAAATATGTTTATTGGTATGCTTGTCTGTCTGTTTGTCAGTTCGCAGCCATTTTCTATGGCGCCTTCTGGAGATCGAACTGAAACAGCCTAGGCCAGGTTGGAGCAAGGGGGAATGAGCCGAACTACCTGAGAACACGTTACCCAAGCTGAGCTCCGCCCACTAGGGGCGGGGGTCCGCAAAAATTGTGTTCACCCAAAATATATAGCTCTTGATCTCCTGGGGCCAAAGTGTCCAATTTTAGAGGGTATACAGGCGGCAAAACGGTGACGCCAATGGCTGCTTTCGTAGTTCACGCTTTGGCGCGCGAGCGACCGACCGACCGACCGATCGAGCGAGCGAGCGACCGGCGGCTGCGCTTGCTCCTTGTTTACAACTGAATCTTGGTACAATACCGCAGGACGAGTAGTCACCCGGTCCCTCGCTCGCTCGCTCGAACGGTCGGTCGGTCGATCGGTCGCTCGCGGGTCAAATCGTGGACTATGAAAGCAAAAAGCGGGATTTGCGCAAAAATTGTTAAATTGCACCTGGAGCATTGAAATTTGGTAGAGGTGGAGGTGGCAAGATAGGAAAACTAATGACAGGTCACAAGTGTAAACACAGCCCACTGGGGGCTGGGCTTGCGCGGAACTTGCGCGGAAATATTAGGTTGATGCATACTTCCGGCTTCTTTTCTCTCGATAATTAAACTTTTAAATTCAAGATTTTTGTAGAAATAATCTTCTCGCTCTATTCAACAGAAATGTCTAGAAAGTCATCTTCATATACGCCGCATTATGCTCTATTACTTCGAGTAATGCTGGAAGGCGGCCCACTCATAACATGATCTCAACGAGCTTCTCGGAGATGGAACAGTTAGCCAAAGCCGAATAAGGTATGAATTCTGCTTCTATGAGCGCCCTATTCACTAACAGAAAATCCTATGGATTATCACGTTGATCGCCCGTTGAAAAATTGGTTAACGAGCAGAACTTTCGACGAAGTGGATGGCCTGATGGCCAACATCAAGGCGTGATCGCCTCCAAGACGTGGATATGCTCGGAGCAATTACTTGAACATGTCTTTGCTAGATGTTTCTATCGCTGCTTCTAAATAATAAGAATTGCTGAGAAAAATTCACAATGATTATGCATCAACCTAATAGTAATGTGAGCCTGGGGCGTTGAAATTTGGAAGATGTGCAGATAGCAATTTGGAAACACTAATATGTATTAGGTATCACGTACAGACAGGGCCGAAATCGGGTGAGCGGGCAACGGGAAAGTGGGAGAGGGGTTACGGAACTTTCCGAATTCGCCTGCCGCAGTGAGTCCGCGGCGAATCTCCTTATCCTTCCACCGAGAATCCGAATCTTTTCCTTCACAACGCGCGATCACGTGCGGCGAGCAGGACACGCCGCTCGGGGGGAAGTGGGGAATTCGAAATTGGCAATTCTGTCTGAAGGTCTTCTAGAATTATATGGCGTTAATTCACAACTTGGCTCCCTTCACACGCGTGCCTTCATGTGTCGTCGTCGGGATACACTGTTCAGGTAAGGTATTCCGCTGGGAGAAAGTTGGCGATACACCGATATGCTATCTCGTACAGTGTTTAAACTCTAAGAAAGTTGAGGAGATGTGGTGGGACTGAAGCTGTAATGAGCGATAATAGCAACCGACTCTGACCAGTGTACTTTTGTACTACACGATGTAGGGGTACTGCTATCTGCTCATTTGTTTCAGGAAGGAAAGGGGAGGGGAAGAGAGAGTGATGATAGTCTCAGTGAGGCATTCAAACTTAACATGTGAAGGAGGAGAGCCCTTCATAATTCGCGCGATTCAACTATCTTATACAAATTCCATGTAACTATCCATAGAGAACACTATTGTTCAGCCAGGTGAAAAGGTCTTCGCAATCTCGACGCATCAGGGCAGAATATCTACGTCCTCAAAATTGAAGATTGGTGCTACGCTTACATGCTTATCATGATTTTCGTGTAAAATTCCATCAAACAATATATTGACCAACGGAATCGTCGATTGGTATAATATCAAATGCTTTCTTCGACGAGGCCGATGAATGAAAGGAGGCAGTTCTCACTTCATCTCCGGTGAAGTGCAGGATTCCACAACAAGAAAGTAAATGATTTCAAGACCCTTTCGTGATTTTTCGAATGTCTCAGCCAATATATGGATGCATAAATGAATGTAGATGGTCGTCATATGTGGCTCTGGATAGATGTGCACAGGCCAACTGGTATTGCAGGGAATACAAAATTATGCTTGTGTGTGTTTGTGTATGTGTATGTGAATGTGTGTAGGCCCGTACATTCATAACTTCTGTCCTTCTGACCTACAGAGTTGAAATTTGTTAGGTACAGGGGGCAATATAGGAACACTGATGATAGGTGGCAGGACGGACTTCGTCCACAAGAGAACGCCGGGTGTGCGTGAAAGTTGTCAATCCAGACGTGGGACGTTCAAATTTGATAGAACATCCGGCACGATGGGAAGCCTGATGATAGGTGGTGGATGGACCGATCCCAGAGAGATGGTAATTGTGGTTGGATCGGACGGGTATCGCTTCGGAACGCACTTCCAGAACCACACATGTGATAGCGCACGGCACTTGCTATCTAGCCACCTCCGCCCATTGACTTTCCCATTTTATCGCACAGAATTGAAACGAAATTGAACCTGTATAGCTATGACCTTCACTAAGGGTCGACTACATGGCATGACTTGGCGCACCACAAGGATGAGTAGATTAAACAGCACATCAATCTTATTGAACTCACCGAAGAGACAATATTGTGCAGTACAATGGCCAGTGAAACAGTCGGCACCGTAGGTGTCACATTCATAGCAGGCGATCGTTGGTTCTGTAAATAAAGGCAAAGAAGGTTTAAAGTATAGAAATAGCAAAAGCAAATAGTAATAGAATACTTCGTAGAAAGACGATAAAGACCAAGAAAAGCCAAAGAACATAACTTAAAAGGTTTTCTAATATTAGGGTGTGCAAAGTTTCGTGAAATTTACGCCTCTCAACTGTGGAGGCATGTTGCTCCCGAACACCCCAAAGCAGGACTACAGATTCGATAGCAGGTAAAGGACATTGTTGAACATCAGTGCTGCGGGTATTTACGTTGTCGTTGGAAGTAAGTAATCATCGACAGAGCAATGATCTCAACAAGATTACTAGAGCTCCTGTTCCACCATTACGAAACTGATCGCTTCGACAGTCAGGCTTGGAATTAGATATGGTAACTGATAGGCAGCAGTGCACTCTCTCTTGTTAACTAGAATAAATGGCTCGCTCGCTTCCTCTGGGAAGAGATTTGCTCGGACGAAGCTCGTCTGTTTATTGTCCTCGAATATCGACACTGTTGTGGCCTGCCGTCGAAGCACCCTTCCTCAAAATTTCACAAAATGGGAAGAATGGACTCTACCCCCCTCCCGCCCCATCATCAACGTCCCTCTATGCAAAAGTAACTATCAAGCTAAGACTCTCTGCAAATATACCACACTCCCTGACTGAGCAGGAGCCCCGAGTGCGAGTCATGTGTTTTAGAAGCCCCTTGACTGTAAGCGAAGGTCGACACCAACCAACTTCATTATTGCTCAGGATGAAAGGTATGCAGATGTCATATGAAAACATACACATACACACATACATACACACATACACGCGTACACATGTACATACATACGCATACACACATACGAACATACACACATACACACAAACACGTACACATACACACATACACACAAATACATACATGCACACAGGAAGTCTCAATGCCCACGATGGACGTAAGACCACAGCCCGCTACAAAGCGAAACGCTCACGCCAACGAGGACATGAGCTTATTCTTCCTCTGCTTAACCGGGTGTTTCATTACGAGATCCTGACTAAGTGTATTGCGGTGACCGCAAAAACATTCTGTGAATAACTGAGAAAGATGGCACTTCAAGCCCCCATTTCAGGTCAAATACATGGAGATTTTTGAGTGTGGCGGACAATGCTCGACAATCCCACGCGAGGACGTCGATGGAACAGTTGGAAAGGTTTGGTAAAACCTGACTGACCTCAAACCTGATTACCATATCCCCAATACCCCACAGGTGTGCTCCAAAGAGAAAAACATTCAACAGTTATCAGAAATTCAAGTAAGTAGTCGATGAATGGATTGTGTCATGCCTTTCTTCTTTCTGGAGGAAGAACATCAGTGCCCTGTTGTCGCTATGAAGGATCACTTTCTTGACTACTCATCTAATTTTGTTGTTGTAGTAATTTTATGCTAAAAACCGACTCAATTTTCTTGAACTTGTCGGACCCCTAAGTAGTTTTCTGTGTAACAATGTGTCAGCATTACATAAAGAGCTGCCCCGAAATAAACAGGTCCAGATCATTTGCCTTCTAGTAATGGGCTCTGAAAATGAAGAAGAAGCAAAAAGGAACTTTTTCGAGATAAAAGTTCTGAAAGAGAATGCGGAACACTTGCGTCGTTGAGGTTCGATAGTCACTGGAGGATTGCAGTAATTATTGCAGAAATTCGTATCGTTGCATATTTTTACGTGGTACTGAGACGTCAACGTGTTCCTAAAGGACAGTTATGTAGAGCTCATGACAGAAACCATTAGAATCAGCTGTTAGTCAAAAAATTATTGAATTGAGATAACAGTTTTGATCCTGAGGCTTTTAGACAATGAACCGAGGTCGTCTATAACACCAGTGTAGTGGCTAGTAACAGTGGCTGGCGGCTGCTACATCCATGCAAAGCGATTTGACCGCCTGAGAGAGTGGAGAAAACGTCTTTCCTTTATCTGGAAGACGATAGAGCAGTAGCCCACCAAAAAAAAATGCCCCTACTTAACTCTTGCCTGAAAACTACTCAGAAACCCCTCAGATCTTCCCCGCTAAAAACGGTGAGCTGGACTGAGGCACTAGAAGTTCCGTGAAGACACAGTCTACGATGCGCAAAAGTAAAATTATGGAAGTGATGGTACAGAATATGTAAAAGTAGCGAAAAAAGCGCAAAAGTCGACGGTTTCAAGAAGTGAATGGTTCCAAAAAAGTGAGAAAGTAGTTGTACAAGATCACGACGATGAGGGCGACAAAGATGAGGTGATTGAACGCGCTATCATTCGGTGCATTAGCGTAAAGATCTGGCGCGATACGCTAAAAATTGCCTTCCACTGGGTTCATTCATAGTACTGACGACATACATACGTATAATATATCAGAGCATAAAAACTGTCCCGTTAAAAAAAGAAGAAGCGTATGAACGCGTCACCGTCTGCAACCGCCTGAGTGTCTCCCACATAAGCTTACTAGTCGGCGGCGTCTGATGCTTCATTGCGAATGGACTCAAAAAAGCCTTCGTGATACAGTTGTGTTTGAGCGTGTAGGACGGCCAAATCGGAAACTCGATCATTTCCCATGTACTGACAGTGGAAGGCAACTCTTGCGATCTTTGTCTTACTGAAGTCAGCTCTCCACAAAGACACAACTGACAACTCCTCTGAATATCCCTCCCATGCCACTTCTCTGTCATATGAAACTTGTACGACCTCCTTTTACATTTTTGGAGTTTGTTCCCTAAAATCCACATATCTTCGCACTTTCTTTGCTCTATTTGCCTCAGGTAGGGGAGGAGAAGAGGGGTACCTCAGAAACCCTACTATAATATCAGATAATTTTGAGTAGAAACAACGCTCATGGGGCTTGTGCTCTTGAACTCTTATTAAAGTAAAATGGTGCTCAGCTACTTCTTGTCCCTATCCCGCTCTTCCCTCTAACATATTCCTCTTTTTCTTCCCATTTTCGCTACTTTTTGTCTTCGCATATGACGACACATTAACCAGCAGAATCAGGCCTAACGTATAATTACCATCAAGGTAATCCCCACCTGATCTCACAGACTCCGACGACGTCGACTGCTGCAAAGTCATCGGGCAGTGCGACCGAAGTGTCCAAACAGCCTTTTTTCAGCGATATCTGATTGCCAGCCACACGCTTTTCTGAAATATTAGCCACTTATACTGTGATGAATTTTCTTTGAAGTTGGTCACAATCGTTAAACGGCGCGTTTCTTGGAAGGTGCTCTCTTGAACAAGCGATTTGTTGGAAATGTGATGGATATCGAGCTAAGCGAAAACGATATGAGATTCCTAGGATTCCTGCAGACGTAATCACATCTGACATACAGCGAAGGTTCTCTTACAAATGCAGAGGGATTATAAAGATTCTAAGCTGAGTGATTCATACTTCACACGAATTGTACTTCGGAATTGGGGTTTTTTTTTTGAAATAAACAACTCTACGTAATTCTGATTTATTTCGAAGATTCGTCGAGTGAGTAGTTGTAGAGCAACCTAAAGATTGGGAAAGGAACTCATAAAGACGAGCTTGGTAAAGCATAACTTACTATTACGTTATCTGTAAGGCGCGCTCAAGTTCAAGGAAACTAGAATAGGATAATCTGAGGATTTGAAGAGCAGCCACCGGATCGGTACTCATCACGTGCAAGGCCTTGAAGTTTCAATTCTTTACTAATAAGATGCCTCCAGCGCTGTGAAGGTGGTATCTGAGCAAGATTATCCTAGAGTCGCTCAAGTCGAAGAGCAGAGGTATCCATCGGGTGAAAAGTTCTTTGAAAAAACCGTAAGTATTTCTCTATCTCAGAAGAAAGTAGTCGGAACCTTTCCAGAATAAGAGCTGTGTCTCTTTTCATCGCCTTACTAGTCTGAGGGCGTGGTTCTGGCTGGAGTTAGGATGGAAGGAAAAGTATTTTGGCGTTGACCAATCCGCTTTCAGAATGCACCCGTAATAGACTTCCACTTACCATTAGAGTCACAGGGGCGATTCGAATGCGTGTCTACCATTATATTTACATGTAAAAACTTGCGGTGGCCAAAGATAGAAGTCAGTGTTCTCATCTTCCCAGACGGGACTAGCACCAAGTGATCGACGTCAGAGGAATGAAAGGCTTCTTTGTTCTTGCGAGTACCGATTCGAGATCTCCGCACTATGCACGTGCGATAGTACCCGCTTACCACTACACCACATCCAATCCTAGCTAGGATCAGACCGATCATTCAACACGCATCATTTAGTTTGCTCTTATTTTTAGTCGAGTTCAAGACAATAACTGAAGGCATAAGTGACTGATTCGGAAGAGTTGGCTTTTCAAAACTGGCTAAGCATTAAGCATTCGGGTCTCCCACCAATCGGTCAACCTCATGATGAATAGAAATTTTTTGAAACAAATTTACTCGGTCCCGCTGAATTTCCCCAATGTGGCATTATACTACTTCAAACCTGAACAGATTTTTGACTTACCATAGACACAAAACTGTCCTTGACAAACATTGGTTTCACAGTCGGAGCTGTCATTTGAGACGCAGTCGTAACATGACACTAAATCAGAGCGATTTCCTTCTAAATGCTTTCAGTTTTCGATCAATTGCTGCAATAGGTAAAGTATAACAAATTGGAATCAGTGGAGCTTGTTAAATAATGTAAAAAACGTAATAAAGTGGCAGTAAATAAAATGAAGTAAAATGTCATTTCCACGTTCCTCTGAGGCTCATCAGTGGTTTGGGGTCTGTGGACAAAGGAAGGTGAAATGCATTATTCAATACAGTTAAACAAAGTAGACATATGAAAAGTAATTTATACTATTGATAATTACTGGGAAATTTTCATAATTCCTCTAACCAATTTGGCATAACCAATTTCATTGAGTTATCCTTGATAGAATACTTGTAACAAATAAGTTTATTTCTATATATGCATTCGACTATATTAGTAATTATAAATTCTTCATTATATCCACTTTTCAAGAGAATGCTTTGTTGCACGTTTTAATTCTAGAGCACGTGTTGGCAATTCTCAATGTTTCTGTGTTTAACGCAGATGCTTTGTTGGTAGTAGAGATATAAGTATCACTATGAGGAAATCTGATGACATCAAAGCTGAAATCATCAGTTTTATTATATAGCTTGGTACTTGCTCTACCCTATATCAATACTCAAGTCTGAATGGTTGCTATTTCTTGGAAAATGTGTTTTTTGCGCTCAAGTGTATTTCTTATATCAGAGGAAACTGTTCTTCTATATCTGATTCTGCCTGGTTATGTAATATAAGAAGATCGTGCATACATCCATATGGAACAAATAACTTATTTTTATTGAAACTCTGTTTTTTTCTGCATACCTATACTCCATTATAGAGAGGGAGAGATCGGCCAGAGGACTGAAGTTGCCTCCTCGAGGAACACCTTTTAACTGCTTGTAAATTTTATTACCAAAAATACAAAAGCTATTAGATAACAAGTTATCGGTAAAATGAAGCAAGTCGTTAATCTTATAGTATCTGTAGTTATTTTTGACTTCTGTACTATCTGTATAGAAAACATGGAACCCATTGGTGGCTATCATTGATTGTTCATTAGCTCCGTTATGTTACTTATGGTCAAATTGTGATTTAAGTTTGTAAACATATCAGTAAAATTCGCAGTATGTAATTTAAAACTATCATGGGTAACGGAACTGAGTTCATCACTAATATTAACCCATTGACGACAATCACGTTTTGCTGGGAAAGCGCCGCGAGGGACAGACGCGCTTTTCGTCCACTTGCGACTGCTGTCCATATGTGGACTGCATGGTCCAGCATGACCATCTTTTGAATTTTGGATGAGAATTTCGATTTTATCTGAATTCATAAATTGAGATTATGGCAAACGATAATGGTATGCAGAACTCGAATTCTTGTAGCTAATGATCGATTTTGATGAGGAGCAGGCAGGAGAGGAGGATGTGGATTTTCTCGGGTAATGTCGATTCTTGATCAAGCGAAATTGAAGAATACGATAAGTTTACTATCTATGAGGACTACGGCGTATACGATGCTGTTATGAGTTGTGAAGAACCAATCGATAACTTCTAATTATTCTTGGACAACAATATCGTGTATTTGAATACAGCAAAAATCAACGGGTATGGCAATGTAGAAGCTGCCGCAGTTGACAACATCTTTACGGTTCGACAATCGTCACCGGAGCAATTTCTTAAGTTTTTTGGAATGTGCCTCCAGATGGGCTGGTAAGAATACCTGCATTGAGAGATTATTGGTCTTTAGAACCGGCACTCGGTCTAGTGGTCATTCAATTATGAGTTCATTATACCAGAAATCGTTTCTGGGAACATTTACGAGCTTTGCATTTGGTCAGAAATAGCGAAAATGCTTATGACGACCGTCTTTTCCAGAACATCTCATTTGTTGAAGTTGTTCAACGAACGAAGAGTTCACCACAATGACACCTTCGAAAAACACCTTTAGAATTGCAAAACCAGAAGACTTCCTGGGACCAGGCAGTATGAAGTTTTATTCAGGCCTGATTCAATGGTCTGAAAAGAAAGATCTTTAAAAAGTGAAGATATAAATGAATGAGTTAAAAATACAACTGCAGCCCACTGCAGAGGGCTGCAGTTGTATTTTTGCAGGGGTTTATTTATTTATTTAGTTATTGGGCTATTGTTGAAGTGACATGCAACAGCAAGGTTCGGAATAGCGTCAGGGTTACAATAGAATAGAATAATGTATCATATCCTATTAAGATGAAATAGAAAGGAATACTGAAAAAAGGGAAAAAAAGAAACAGGGGGGGGGGGGTGGGAAGGGGAGAGGAGCAGTTGGGCCGCCAGAAAGAGGAAGGGCGGTGGCTGGCCAACACTGCAAGCCGCATGGAGGGGTTGCGGCCCAGCATACCAGTTCGCGGACTGCATTGTCGTTGATTGTTTAATATTGCTTATAGACCAATATGTTTCTATTGACCTGTTTCAGCTCTGTACTACATCAATGTATTTAACGAAGTGTTTTCTCAGAAACTTGAAGATATTTCATATATAATTCTTGAGCTGAAGATTTGGCACTACTGTTACGAGCACCCATTATGAATCTGAATTTGACTAGATTTGTATGAACTTCGGAAGCGCATGAATAATTGGTAAATTCGCCCTCATGAAGTTACATTGAGCTTGCTACGGGCGCAAGAGATTGTCTTCCAGTATCAATGAATACTTATTATTACACTGCTTGAGTTTATACGTATTATTAGTGGCCCCATAGGTATATGTATTATCAATCGCATTATTCATAATTCCCATTTCTTTCATTATGATGCTCAAATAAAACTTTTTACAAAGTATACCGTCGTTATTTCCCGCTTCATTTAACGGACAAAAGACATACTTATTCAGATACTGTTCATCTACATTACGAGGCAAATGTTCTCCCATATTACTGATGCTAGATTCGGTTAGCAGTTGTTTAACTCTTTTATGGTAACAAGAGTACAAATGCTTACAAAGTAAGCTTATCTTATATACGTTCAATTTGTGGTTATTTTTGAAGAACGAAATAACTCTGAACATAGTATCCATGTAAATGCTTTTTACTTCACGTCTTATGATGCCACCGTCTTATCTATGTTATGTTCCTTTTTCCAACATGGACCTTGGTCCCTTATTAGATTCAAATCCCCTGTCATAACATGACCAAATTTTTCATTTACATTTTTTCAACAGCACTAGTATGACAATCACAACTGTCTCTAATCGCCTCCTCTAGCTTCCCCTTGTTAAGAATTCTCATCATGAAGAAGTGCCTTACCAGTTCCGGGCAACGGTTGCGGAGTAGGAGAAGGCACCATCATACATTGGCTGTTGCATTCGTTTCCGGTAGAACAGATCAACACGTGATACTGACCAAAATTTGTCGATCTAAAAAGCACACCCCAGTTTCAAAACAGATCACAACATAAACAAGTGCATCAACAAATAAGAATAAATAAATATATGAGAAATATTGAATACATCAAAATTGACCTATTAAAAGTCCTCTAACAAATACGAGCTTTATTTACGGCTTGACACGGATTAATGATTAACATTTTTTTGCGTTTCAATGAAAATTTTTATCTGTCTGCCGTGCGCTCCTATCGGTCTTGCTTCACATGAGGGAGCACAACCGTTCTCAAAGTGGGCTCCGTCATAAATTCGTCTACAAAGCTAACTCCATATGATTCCATCAAGATTCTCAAAAATGAAGCGTCCCACGGTATTGGCGAGGAACAGAGACTTCAGCTTCGCTTAGAATCTTGATGACAATTGACAGCGCTACATATGGATTGTCGGAAAGTTTTCACCGATTTTCATAGAAAATATATAAGTCTCAGAGAACAAAGCGTCTAATTTACATTGTATACTCCGTTTTGGTTGATAATGTTTTGCCATCTTTCTGAAAGTTCTACTGCCTCACTTTTCCGCAGTAGATCTCAAACTTGGAAATAAAAAGTATCCTGGATGCATTTGCAGTGATCCGGAAGGTCAAACGATTTTCAAATGAAAAGGGTTCCGCAGAGATCTAAACAAATGGTATGATAGTTCTATATCAGGATAATATGGACGATGTAGTTGTACTTGTTTTGACTTGATGTTTTGTTAACTGCCGTTATTTTGCCGCAGTACGCGTTCCGATAGTCTCACAAGGTTGGCGATTTATGGGCAAATTTCGGTCTCGGACGGGACTCGAACCCGTATTTGTGCTTCCCGGGCACCGTGCTCTATCCCTTACACTGCCGAGACCACGCTTGCCCTCGCCTTCTTAATGGCTCATATGCCAATGGCTCATATACCATAGCTTATCAGCATTCACACGTACGTGTCGTGTTGTTTACAAGTTCTATCATGTAAAAATTACAGCTTAAGGGTCTTTTACTGGTATCGGCCGACCGGCTCAACACGTTGTATGGGTGGGTGCTGATAAGCTATGGCATACAAGCCATTAAGAAGGCCAAGGCAAGCGGGGTCTGGGTAGTGTAAGGGATAGAGCACGGTGAACGCAAAGCACAAGTATGAGTTTGAGTCTCGTCCGAAACTGATAAATTGCACGCCTCATCCGAGCTCCAGCAGTTACGAAAGATATCATGATCTGGAATTATGGTTAGGATCGTTTCCGCTTTACGTTGTCGTACACACTCCGTCTCTCATCTGTCGTTACCATCTCCCTTTACCAGAAAAGGCTGATTATCGCTATGTTCAGGGGAC